ACTTGCCATCGGCTTGGAGCTGGGATAGGACAGCGCTGGTGGCGAAGTTAGAGGCGTTGCACTCGAGTTTGTAGCGGCCAGAATCAGCAGGGAAGGCGAGGATGGGGGTGGAGGTGACGGCTTTCTTAAGGGCGCTGAAGGCATGTTCCTCGTTCTCCCCCCATGCCCAGGCTTTTGTTTTGCGGGTCAGCATGTGGAGCAGGCACTGTTAGAACAGGCAGATTCGGACGACTCCGGAGTGGAATCGGAGACTTAGCATGGAAGGACCTCGGCCTCAGTGACTCAGGCGGAGTGCTGTGCCATTGCTGGTTGTCCTGGGGGTCTGTCAGGGCACATACCCTGACTTAGCCCGGACCCGGACCCACATCCGGACCCGCTCCACTTCCCGTGCACTTCCCGCGCCGCACGCTCCGTGCGCCGCATGATCCGACCCCGGATCCCACCTCATGTGACTTCCGGGTATCCCCGGAAGTTTTCGCCATATTGGGGCCACTGTGGGAAAGTGAGAAGTTAACCTTCTTCTCACTTTCTTACCCACAGTAGGTTGTGCCTTAGGATAGGCTGTTCACACACAGGGCTGTGGGCTATAGAGAGAGGAGTCATGGGGACCCGGGGTCCGTCCCCTGACAGGGTCCCTAATTTCGGATCTAGCAGAGGGAAAGTCTCTTGGGGGAATTCAAGTCGATTTCGGACTGAGGTTACAAGTTACTAGGTACATTGTATATAAGGAGGGCTCCAGAATCAAAAGGAACAAGGGTAGGACGAAAGGAGACAAAGGGAGATGGAAAGAGGAACAACACTGAGGGTCAAGTGTTTGACTCAATGGTGTTTCCCAAAGGAGGAATGAAGGGCCAAGGCCCAAGGAGGAAGGAAGGAGGATGGGAGTGGGGAATGGCCAGCTGACTGAATAGAAAGGAAGCAGCAGCCCAAATAGGAATGAGGGAGTATAGCAGAACTGAATGGAGCAATGCAATAGTTGCAAGGTCTGACATAAGTCCGGAAAGTCCAAACTTGGAAGTTAAACTCCGGAATATTGGCAAACGTAATTAAATGGAATGAGCTAACCAATACAATGGGTATAAGCGGAGGTGGGGTCAAAGTCCGAGGTCGGAGCTAAGACTGGAGGTTCCGGAGATGGAGATGCGAAACGGGATTCCAGAGCGGAGGTCCGGAGTCAGGGGCATAGGTGTTGCGTGCTTGTCTGGGAGGTGTCGAGGTTGAGGTTGGACCTGGAATGTTCCAGAGTCGGACCGAAGGTGGTGTTGGAGCCGGAGGTGGGATAACCTCTTGGGAGTCGGCAAGGAGAAGGTGACGGAAGGGAAGTAGGGCTCCGGAATCAGTTTCGGAGTTCCGGGAGCCCGGAGCGGAGGTCGGGATTGTATGGATATGACAGGCACGCTATCTCGGAGAAGTCTTTGATGAAGCAGCGATAGAAGTTCACAAAGCCCAGGAAGGACTGTACTTCTTTCACCTTCATTGGCCTTGGCCAGTCAAGGACTCCTTGGACTTTCACCGGGTCCATGGCAACGCTGCCTTTGGAGATGACAAGTCCAAGGTACTCGATGTGGCACCGCTCGAATTTGCACTTCTCTGGTTTGAGGAAGAGCTTCCTCTTCTGCAGCGTTTCCAGCACTTCCCGCACAACCTTCCGGTGTTCCTCCAGTGTGGACGTGAAAATCAAGATGTTGTCCATATAGCAGATAACAACTTCTTGGTCAATGAAGTCTCAGAGGATGTCGTTCATCATGGTCTGGAAGGTTGTGGGGGAGTTGCACAGCCCGGAGAACATCACCATGGGTTCGAACAGGCTCCGGTTAGTCGCAAATGCCGCCTTCCACTCATCGCCATCTTTGATCCGCATGTTGTTGAACCCCCAGCGCAGATCCAGCGCTGAGAAATACTTTGTGTTTCAGAGACACATGAGGACGTCGGAGATGAGTGGGAGGGTGTTATGGATACGGACTCTCCAACGACCATATCCATTGCATAGTCAAAGACTTCTCCTCTCTATCGCTCCCCCCTCTTTCTCCCTTTCGTCCTCTATCCCGATACCCTACCCTCCTTACTCATTCTACCCCTTCCCCCCCCTTGTGCAAAGCTTTCCCCATTGGGGTTTTGGTGCTGGCCGAGGTTACTTGTGTTTCGCAGGATTTCCCGCGACCTTACCATTTGTAGATAGTCACGCGTCTTGTATGGAAACCGCCGAAGGCGGTTCCTGCTAACTAACAACTACTCTCTACAACTGTCTTGTGTGTCGTCTTCTGTAACAACCCATCCTGTGACTCAACTGAACCGTGTGACTGTACAACTCACAACATGTCTTATAAGTCTGCAGACTCGCACTCTAATGACGATGACTCTTGTGAAATGACCTATGACACCTCCGACCTGCATCCCAATGATGAGGATTTTGGTGGAACAGTTTATGACATCTTCGATCTGGACTCGTTGATGATGACGAGAGCCTTTGTGAAGCCGAGCCCGTTGCCATGTCCGAAGATCCCATTGAACCAGAGCTCAATCATAAAGAGCTAGGGCCTCACGGCCTCGAATCGACCGACCTCGTTTGCCCAAATGAAGTCGAGGAGCCCCAGCCGATCGGGTCCTATCATGAGTTTCGCCCGGCTGACTACAGCAAACTTTGCCGCACGAGATCACGCAACAAGGCGTTTGTCCCCAAGCCGTTGCTGCTGGTTGAACGGATTATCCCAGCCAAGGCAACTAGAGTAGTGCCGACGATGTCGCTTGATCAAGATAATGCGAAGTTACCCCCGCGTGCGCTGATCCTCACACCTGAGACATGTAGAGTCAACCGGGCGAGGCTCAGTGATAGCCGAAGTCCTGTTCCACAGAGCGCCCCACGTCACTCAGAACCAGCCGTAGCAGTCGGCCATGTCAAATGCCTAGTTGAGATACGCCGCGAGCATCAGGCTGAAGCCCCATCCAGAGCCGAGTCCGAGTTGCCTAACGATTTAGAGTTGTTCATCGATGAAGACTGTAACGACGCCGAGACCCCTGTTGAGCTTAGGAACACCAAGTCATCGAGTCCAGAGGTGACTCGTGCAGTGTTGTGGTATTCGAGTGACCCACATGAGTTGTACAACGCTAGCCAAGATGTTGAAGTGCCCGGCAATGCTAAGACGCTGCATGCGGAGCCTGAGCTAGACGAAGGCTATATTCCTTCACCCGAGAAAGATCCGGATAAGACGTGAAAGACGCAGCACGGTCTGGGCAGCCAGTCGGCCCAACCCGTGCGTGAGCCTGGACAAACCAGAGGCCCAGCACACCCAGTCACCGAGTTCCCTGGTGACACCCGCAAACTCGCGATGCCGGAGGGTATCTTTTTCCGAGCGTAGACCCGCCCTCGCCTTAGTTTAAGCCGACGTTTAATCATTTTCCAACACTCCTTCGAGTTCTTACATGTGTTCTTATGATTTCCGAGGAGTCCAACTTTGCGCTTATTTCTTGCATACGAAACTACATCGTCATTTGTGTCTGAGCTTGATTCTACATCGCGTATCGAAAATTACACGCCGAGTTCAGGAGTTTACAAGTTTATCTGAGTCGGACGCGTCGTTATTCCTCGATATCGCGACATCCGAACCCCTTCCCCTAGCCAGACGACCTTTTCTCAAGTTTTACACGTCCAATCCACATTCTTTTCGCTTTCTATTCGATTTTCCCCGAGTTTTCGCGCTGGAGACGTCGATGAAGCCCCCCAAGTACAGAATATGATCCCGCGACCTCACAGCGCCAGAGTACAGTGAGCTCAAGTCAAAAGAGCTAAGGCCTCCCGGCCTTAGCATCAAGTTCGCCGTCTGACATCGATCCCGAGCCCGCGCGCGCGATTCCTACCGAGGCAGCGCCGACCCCAGCCATTGTATGTGACATGAGAACCCTAGCGTCGCCAGTTCAAGCCCAAAGAGCTAAGGCCTCCCGGCCCTAGCTTCAAGTCCCAGCAGTTGATGACGATCCAGAGCCGCGCACACGCCCCAGCCAGAGATAAGTTGAGTCCAGTACACGACCACGCTGAGCACAAGCCAGAAGAGCTAAGGCCTCCCGGCCTTAGCAATGGATCCATTCGTTTTCGAGCGCGAAGTCGATCGCATATTGGATATGCGAAGTTCTAAGCCGGTGTGGACGAAGTTAGTCATTGAACTCGCAGGTTAGCGATGGGAGTAGAAACGGGGCGTACTATTGTGCCCAATCCTCCCATTCGACCAATGGTTCTCCAGTGGGTGGCAGTGCGCGCGCGGTAGCGCGATGTTGAGTTCTGGCATAGGTTGGCATTGATGGTGGCAAGGATGAGGTGAGGTTGGTTAGTGCTGAGTTGTTGGCGGAGTAGTCACATGGGCAAGGCAACTTCGTAACAGCCCATGTGTCCGTGGGATAGCTCTGGGCGACTCCGCATCACATGTGATCTCCCTGGTCCGGATGAAATTTTGCGGTCACATCAAGGGGTGATCAACATGGAAATTCTATACCCGATGTACCATTTCAGGTTTTAGCGGGTTTGAGCGGAGACATACATACTAAGTAATTCAATCGGCAATTGCCGTACCCCGGCCATTGCCGCATTCCATATTGGGCATCCACCTAGAAGTCGAATTCACCGCCAACTAGAAAGATGGAGGTATGTGGATCAATTAAACATTGTTCCCAATGATGGCATGTTGTTTTAGGCTCATGAGGGGAGTGCAGAGAATCATTCTCAAGTGTGTCCGGAGTGTGGTATGGACGTACTTCTGGGGACCGGTGGTCAAAAAAATCTGCTGTGTCATATTGGCAAGGCAAGATGCCGTGAATCCCAAGAAAAGCGGGAGAATAAAGTAAAAGCCCAACCACAAGCTGAGTTAATGGCTTCATTTTTCAAAAAAAAGGAGTCCGTACACCGCCCAACTGTGGTCCCCCCCGCTTTACTCCAAAGTCTAGCCCCTGAGCCCATCCATTCACCCTTGCCATCAAAACCAAATCTTCCACACACTGAAGAAGCTCCGAAAATGCCTAGTCAACCAGACAAAGGACTGCAATCAGCCAGTTGCTTATCAAAACTGAGACATATTGCGACGAACCTCCCCGATACTGTCCCACTTGCTGCTCCCTCAGACCCTATTGCAGCTCTCACTGGTGACCCTAAAGAAATAGTGGCCACTCAAAAGCTGGAAGAGCCAGATGAGGATGTATATGAGTGGCTGGATAAAAAACTCAACAATATTTGTGGTGAATATGCGAAACGGAATGGCACCCTAGCATCAGCCATTAGACGGGGCCCAATGGGGTTGCCAGGGCTTTGTGCTACACTCCAATACTTCACCAACAACAAATTTGCTTCTGAAGAAATTCTGGAGATCCGAATCAATAACCTGATTGAGGAAGCAAAAAAAATGTATGTCACCATCACCGTTAAATTCAAATCCCCCCAAAGTGCTGCTTAACATAATTCCAATAGAATCCCTCTAGAGTCCCATCCTGCATCAACAAGGCCCTCCCCAAGGAGACAGGATAATACTGTACTCACTCAGCGCATGTTGCCTTCACCGCAACCTGGTACCAAACACCTCCCATTTCTCCTGGACTCTGATGAGGACAGCGACTCACCTCCCCAAATAATTGACAACAAGCATCCATGCCAAGGAATCAGAATTGACGTTCCTGAAGGGAGAAGCCCATTTCTTGAGTGGCCATGGAAAGAACAAGCGGAGTTAGCAATGGCTTGGGACATCCACACTAAAAATGGTATTCTTACCTTGCATGCTCCCACTTGTCTACAGTTGACACTGCGGGTTAATGAGCCATGCCGAGAATGCCAACTCCTCCAAAACAATCAAAGACTTTGCCGTATTCAGGACCGGATCCACAGAGGCATCCCCGAGACCACCCCATATAAGTACCTTGGGATGTCTGGGTTAATCGAAATTCTCAGGCGGAAAGACCGTCAAATTGACAGTCTCAAACTTCAACGTCTTAACACCAATCGGAAACTGGATTTGCTCATGACTTCAAACCTGGACTACAAAAGATTTGTCATGGCTGTGGGCGAGTGCAATGTACCCCACTTGAATCAACTTGTGCGGTCCGCGCTACGAAAGAAGCATGGGATTAATGGAATCATTCAACTTATTGGGAGAGCCGCACTTGGAACTTACAGCCCGAGGCACACAGAACAAGAACACCTTATGAGTGTTGTGCTCTACCGGTTAGGGGGCGCACGCGTTGCAGAGTTTGCACATGCAGCACTCAGCATGCCAGGGATAGCAACAACCCAACGACACTGCACAACCTCAATCCGCGCTTCTCCTGCCTTCCCAACCCTTGATGAAATGAGATCAAACATCACAACGGCGTTTCAAATTGATGCCCCTTCCAATAATCAAGTTGTCGGCCTTGTTTGTATGATAGATGAGATTAAGGTGGAAGAGGTGTTGGACTGGTGCCTGCACACCAACAGTGTGATCGGCCTTTGTCGAGAGCATTCAGGGTGTAATGCACATGCAATCAATAACATCGATGATGCGCATACACTGTTTGATGACTTGGCAAACAGAAAAGTGCATTTCGGCATGGAGGTACGTCTAGGACAAAGGGGTGTGAACCATAGCACCAGCTAAATCATAGACGATAGGCTACAGTTGCCGCAATTGGAGCTCTCACCGGGAATCATTGCCAATACATCGCACGGCCATTTCTAATCAGTGCAACATGCAAAAATGAGAAAGCCGACAAACATGCTGATCTCCTCCGCCTAGCATGCAGTGCCTGCAACCAAATGCATAAGGAGACCAAGGGGAGTGTATATTGCCTTGCCTCAGATGGCGAATCAAGGCGAGGAAAGGCACTTGTAGCCTTAACGGAGCACACACCACTATCTCCAACATCCCGCTTATATGCTTACCTGGGTGGACTACCGCTGCTAAACCTACTGGTTGGAGAGGACGAGTTAACATCTGACAAAGACTACAAGCATGTTATGAAAAGACTTCGACACACTCACCTGAGGCCCAGCGGTGTTTCAGTCGGTGGTGTTCAGATTACACCCTCAGTCCTGCGGTCCCACCTAGAAGGCAACAAATACCCCTCAAGCCAAATCAACAACCTGATGAATGTCACAGATAAACAAGACGTCACTACAATGTTTAACCTAATGCTACTTATCTGGAAGTTACCACCACCACTCACCACGGACAATCCCATATACTACGAAACTCGTGTCGCCCTCAATCAACACTCAAAGCTTGTCAAATATCTAATCTTACCCTACATAAATGTTGACATGAGCCTTCATGATCAACTTAAGTCTCTTAGTGCCGCGGCACACCTGGCATACATATTCTTTACCGATCATAATGCACACTCGGCTTACCTCCCATCACCCCTTTACCGTGATATCCAAATCATGGTTAAGAACGCGTTCTTTTGCGTGGCAAAGATGAAGTGTGACAATCCCAATGGCGAGTTCTTCTTGATCCTGCTGGGCACGGATAGGCTGGAATGGATTTTTGGCCTTATCAGATCTCAAAATGGGAGCGATGTTAACGTTAGCACTTACACTTTATCGGGCCGAACTTCAGGGGCCGTCGAATGCCACTCAATCCTCTCCCAACACCCAGAATGGGACCGGGGCCCTCGTCGGCTAAGGCTCCAGGGTTTAAGCACCACAACAGGGATAGAGCAAAAAATCGATCACCTCAATCCGGCATCGTGGAAGGGAGACGTGCGAGTCTCTGGCATACAACTGATGTCTGCATGGAGATCCGGCTGGCATGAGGTAGAAAATGATCCAGAACTCACGGCATTCAGTCCTGCAGAAAAGTTCGGCAAGCTTGAGTCGACCCCAGGTGCCGATCTGCTAAACCCCTTTGGGATGGAAGTATGTGAAGATGGTGAAAATGAAGAAACGTACGATGAAACTCCCCAGCAACCCAACCCAGATTCCACCATTCCCATTGTACCCGACTCGCTGGAACTTGAGGAACTCGTTGACAACGAGGATGCGCGGAAAAATGGGCTCGAAAGTACAATTGATGTGGGGAATGGGAAGCATGTACACAAGGCAAAGGTTCTGCATGAATTCACAAGGTTCACAAGAACATCAAACTCGACTGACCGATTGAGACGTGTCGCCAATATTTCCCGCTTTGCCCAAATCCCCGCCACGCCACATCATCACATTGGTGATGGTTCTATCACGGAGACCGAATGCATCTTGATCCAAGATCCAGTAGCCACGCTTCTGAGATGCGAGGGAATCCCATTTCTGGGTGTTGCCCAAGTTAGTTCCATCAAAGTTGATAAGAGTTCCCAAAGTGCAGTATCAAAAGACTTACTCAACGAAGAAACAGTCACCATCGGTCTTCAAATCCTCTGCTTGAAGTCGCAAAACATAATTCTGTCAAATGGGAAGGATGGTGATTGGGTCTGGCAGCATGGACGAGATGCAAGCATCATGGTTCCCGGCAAGTTCATCCAGCAAATCAATCCTGATGTTGTTACTGTCGAAGAAGAGAGCGCCGTGATCAGAGCAGGAATCAGAAGAGAAGGTGGCTTGAGGAAGGCTGTAGGATATGGGTTTTGAAGTGATGAGCTGCGAGAGTTAGCAGCAGTGATGTTTGGGGCACTCTCGCTGGATGATCGACGTAAGATAGTTGAGATCAAACAGTCGGATAAGTTCCCTTACCAGGTTAACGGTGAGCTAGTTGGCTGCAGGTTACAACTGTCACACGAAACTCATTGGGCAATTCTCTCATCAGGCAGAGTGTGTTTTGCATGTGAACTTGAGGGGGATGACAGAGACGTGGTAACAACGAATATTTCTTGTGAACGTTGTCACGCGATCTTTGAAACAGCCCCAAAATTACTCGCACACATCGCAGCTCACATATTACATGACCCAACTATTAGCCGAGAGGATGAGCCATGCGGGCTCTGTCTATCACCAGCACCTTCATGTCGGATTGGCCTGAAGAAATATAAAGCGTCTTTTACGCTTGATTATACTAATTCAATGTGTCAGAGGCTGGTTAAGTTTTCTTACGCCACTGCTTCCCAACCTTCACCTACAAACCCGTGTGCTAATGTTCCCATAAAGTGTCCATGGTGCCCCAAAGGATCCAACACGGTATGGAAGTACAACATTGCTTTTCATTATGCGAAAAACCACTCCCCTTCTGTTCCACCTAGCGAATTTGACATCTCAGATTTCGAGCTGGAAGGTCTCAAGATGGTCTGGAACAATCGCCATACTGCGAATCGAGGGGAAACTAGACGATGGAAACACTTAGCGGCGAAACTCAACATTTCTGAAGCACATAGTTCCCATCTCTGCCTTCGGTATGTCCCAATCCTTCTTTACTTATTTATCACTTCAGATGTAATATTAATTATTAATCTACATCCAGGGACACAGACCTAGAAACACCACCCGAAGTCAATGCGGACTCATCCACTGGACCACTGGAACAAGATATCGACGATGACCTCGATACCAGCACCCCCGAACATATTCCCACCTCTCCTAGCCCCCATCCACCCTCCCCGGCCTCAGCTTTGCCAACCACCTATTCCAGTGGCCGTCCAATGCGCCACGCTCCCAAATGTCCTACTGGCATTCATATGTGTTGTACCATGAAAGTTACCGCAAGCGAAATTAACGACGGTACTAATGTTGTTAGGTGTAATGGGACGGGCTGTGAGACGGTTTGGGTATATGCCTTTTACCGTACCTTAATACTGTTGTTGTTTTCTGACAGACAAATTAGTTCCATAGGTCATGTCAGGGTCTAGGGTCCTACATCCCCCCGAACTGGACATGCGGTGCCCATCAAGAATCCCGCAACAGCAAACGAGCAAGGAAACAAGGCTAACTATTGGCATAGTGGAGGTTTTCAATTTATTTTCAATGATAATATACATTTGCAAATACATTTGAATCGAAAATTTTGACGTGCGCAAAATAGGTTTAGTCCCTCCGACCAGAGACTATCATACTAACATGGGGTTCGGCATTTCCCGAATGACCCCCCCTTGGGTCACATGGCATTCGACACCGTGTGCGGAGTGGGGACTTACATTTCTTGGTGATGATTCTTTGGTGTTTGACTACTTTCTTTTTGGGAGATTGCAAGGGACTGCAATCCAGAGCTAGGCCTGTATGTTATGGGGACAAGTCTGTGCAGGTCAAACCAACCCTTATCACACATTTCACCCCCTACTGCATCAGGGACTAGGATTGGTGAGTCGTGGTAATAATAGGAGTTGTAGAGACTGTGGAGATGGTTCTGATGAGTCCAAGATCGTCGGATTTGGTGGAGTGGTTGAGGAGATATGACTTTTTCTTTATTTTCCTTACTATTTTCATTCATTCACATGTGACTTTCCTTTTATATTTGTATCGGACTCTTCCGTGACCGGCTGTATAGTTTGGTAGAGAGTATCAGCACCAGACTCAACTGGACCAATATACCCACTCAGACCTGACCCTCAGTGAGATCCTTATCCCCCCCCTCTTTCCTGTCGCGAGTCTAGTTGGGTAGACCCATTACAACGTCTCCGACTACCTACCATCAATTCCTTAATAGCTCACTACATCACCAATCACGATCGATGGGAATTCGATTGTCCACTCCCTTGCAAGACTGGGATCACTCATCGATTACATATCCTGTTATGGTACAGACTAGATACAACGTTCGTCATCCCGCTATAAGAACGGATCGAGGAATGGGGATTTCCCCCCATCCCCGTAACATTGGTGCCCCAACCCCAGTGCGAGAAACTCGCACCATGCCACCAAAGACGGTGTCCCTGTTGGGAGACGAACCAGTCACCCCAGTCCAAGTGACACATGAATTGTATCCTCCTTCCTGCCCCACGAGGATCAGTCAGTCGGATCGTAGATCCAACTCAAGAGATACCTCGCCAGTAGGCGAAGATGTGCATTCCTCGCCTGGCGCATTCCTAAGACAACAAGCTCTCAGGCAAGTCATCGAAGCTCTTGGAGAGTTTGAAGGTGGAATTTTTGAGGATTTGAATAACTACATGAAACATATATGAAATTGGCATCGTCTCGCTCCCGCTGATCTCGAGAAAGAGTCTGTTGGAGCCGGTCTCGAAGGAGAGCCTTTGAGATATCAACTAGGGACCGTCTGGCGGGTCGAGCTAACCAACCTGCTCATGAAAATTACCGAGTTCACCCAGCTAGCCACCAAGGCCAACTTAGCCGCAGGTGATTTCGTAGTGGATCCCCAAGGCGACCTCGCCCTGATATTCACCATAAGAGGATGATCATCGCCCAAGGAGTTCAGCATTGCATGGAACTTCCTAGACCAGCGTTTCAATTCCTTCGAAAAACATTTCGACGCCATCAAGAAAGCTGCTCGTCCTTCACGGGAATTTGACGAGTTGCGCATGAGTGGACTCAGGTTGGCGAATGTCTCGCCCACCAAGTTTACGGATCCTGGGCAAGTCAAGGAGGCATGGTCGACTGAAATGCGACCCACTCGGCAACCTGAAGCCCTCCCGTCGGGATGGACCACATTTGAGGATCTCATATCTCCCGCTGAAGAGACCACTTTCGTTCATGAACGCACCCAACCGTCCAGGGCCTTCCTGGTGCCTAGACCAAGCATTAATGTCGCTGCAGGGATGCTACTCAGAGATGAACCCTCGATGCTGTTCATCACAGTTCATCGAGAGACCAACGCTTTCGAGAACCCTAAGGAGAACGTGGGTTACACCGAATTTGTGAGAGGTTTGAAGGTCAGAAGGAAGACAGAGCTGGGACCTGTCGAGGAGAGACTCGATCCCGACAATCATGGACCCGAACCCCCTCATGTTCCTCACCATCCAGTGAATGAAGGACCCATTGGATCCAGAGATCCATATCATGATCCGAGACAACTGCCTCTCGACCCCTGGCAGCTGCCACCACGAGGTGCGGGTCCACCACCCCCATCAGGACCACCACCTCCACCTGGACCACCTCCTCCGCCCAGTGGGGCTCCATACCCGGGGCACATTCTACCCGTCAGATACGCTGGGGCACCGCCACCTCTGCCACCTCCCGGACCTGGAGCGTTGGCAGTGCCTCAGCAGAATCCTGGATACAGACCTCCTCTTGACCGCACACAACCTTACGTGGATCGCAAATATACTACGTCAGACTTCCCAGAGTTCGATGGTTCGATCGACAGCTATATAATGTGGTGCAGCATATGTCGGAACCTGGCCAGGCACTCACCTGCTTTCGCCCAACAAATGACCCGCATACTTCCTGATCGTTTCAAGGGTGCTCTGGCAGACTGGTGGTCGACTGTACCGGTCGCCGACAGGTTGTATTTTACCACCAATTGGGAAGATCTACACGGATACGTGCTACATTTCTTCTTAACACCCACCTTCCTCGACAAGATTCGAGATCGATTCCACACTTGCAGGTACCGCAAGGGTGAAAGGTACTCTAAGGAGTCCCCACACGACTTCGCGACACGCAAACTATGACTCTTACGCATCCTATATCCACTTGCTGATGTTCCCGGACCAGAGGTCTTGAGGGGCGAGGCCTAAAGACTTCTAGAAGACATCCCAAAAGGATGGTGGGCCCATCTCAACATCGATCAGGTCGACACAGCCGAAGAACTCTTACGGCTGACTAAACTTAAGCATGACGAATTAGTAGCTAGCGACAAGTTCAGTATTGACGCTTTAGCAAACTGAGTCACCTGCATTAATTTGGAGAGGAATAAACGTGGAGGAGACTGTGTTGAGACCAGAAGCGTCGCCATTGCGTCCGGGAGCCAGACCTACCCTTTAAGTCGCGGAAGAAACTGCCCAGACCGTGTCAACACTGTGGAAGTGCAAACCATTGGGACAACAACTGTCCCCCTAGGAAGGCTGATCGAGCCAGGAACGACCGTGAGAAGCGTGACAACTCGTCCAAGTTGGAAAGTACCTACCAACGGGCTTATGCTGCCTTAGTGGAAGGTCAGGAAGCAGAATTCGCAGTGGCCTACACAGAGTTTTGTACCCTGTCCGATTCCGAATCGTCGGATATACCTGACATAGATAATGCTGAAGATTCTTCCTTTTCTTACATTGCGGCCTGTACGTGGAAGGAGATCCTGCCTGACGAGAGACTCATTGGGGCCGCCCTGGTCCCAGGTGAGATATATGAAGCCTGTAAGATATTCGAGCGACCCCCAGGTCAGCAGTCCTTAGGATCTGATGCTTGTCAAGTCCGTTGTCACATCAACGCAATAGACGGGATCGAGATAGAAGCGTTGGCCGACTCTGGGGCAGCCTGCATGCTAATATCGACTGACCTGTACGACCGTATTAAAGGAGAAGGCACCCGCATAAAGCAAGGATTGAAATTGAATTTGGTTCAGCTAACAGGGAAGGCTAAATGCCAAGGCTACACGACGATTGACTTATACCTGCCCTCACAACGAGGTCACGTCCTGTTGTGGGGTGTGGAAGCTTACGTACTCAAAGGGATGACCATCCCTCTGTTGATAGCCGAAGACATGCAGACAGCATTCCAGCTGCATACTATGCGTCCACCTGAACGAGAATTCTGGCAAGTGGCAGACTCAGACCACCAGGTTCCCCTCAAGAGCCAGATTCATCATGTGCCCGCCTATCCAGTTATAGCTGGTCCTTCTCATTCTCGAGAACCTAAACGAGTGAACGTCTCGGGTACAGGTCGACTAAAAATCACGGAGGATGTGACCTTAGAACCGTACACAGTCCGCCTGGTTGGGGTCACCGGTAACTTCGACCACAACTCGGGAGTACGCCTTGTCAAAGGACAGAGGACAGGATGGAAGCAGGGTGACTGTCTGCCACCTCTGACCATGCTTGTAAACACTGCCCATCCCCTTAGGCTGCCCTTGACCAATCCGAACCCATACCCGATCAAAGTCCAGAGTGTCAGGGACTCGTCCGGGGTCGAGGGAGCCCGGGTGTAGCGTCCGGGGCTGAGAGCCTGGTGGGGGGTGGATCGGGCATGCATACTGACAGGCCCGATGTGGGACAGCGGTCCCTGGCCACTTAGACTGAAGTGGAAAGTTGAGAAGAAGGCTACTTCTTCGGTTCCCACTTCAGGTTCGTTTATATACATGCGGCTTAGATCACATGACAGGTGCCACGTCACCCTCGCACACAGCTGTAACCACCCGGGTATCTCTGTGGGAGATCCCGAGGCCATCTGGTGCATGCACGCATGCTGGGCACAGTGGGAAGTCGCCCAAGGTGTCCGGGCCAGGTACATGGTGGGTGCACAGCAGATGGGTCAATGGTACATTGATACAAAGAAGGTCGTCCGTGTAGAATAAAGAGAGAGTAAAGAAGAAGTAGGATAGGAAGAAAGTGAAGAAGGGAGAATGAGGAGAGAGGAAGGGGAAGGGGGAGGAGGTGAGGAAGGGTGGACAGTGGGGTACCGGGTCAGGTTGGGCTGGGTGGAGCTGGGTCAGGTGGGTGTGCCCTGACATCACCCCCTCCTTAAGCTGCTTCGCCTCGAAGCGGCTAGGTGGTTCTCCCTTTCTCTCCCTGGGGCTTGGGGGTGCATCCTGTAAAATTCCTCAATCCGGTCGGGGGCATGGGCTAGTGGTCCCGCTGGAGCCATTGGTTTTCAGAGTTCGGCCAGCCAGTGAACTTTACCAGATACCAGAGTTTCCGGCGTAGCCACTTAGAGTTCAATATCTTCTCGACCTCATACTCTTCTTCTCCTTCTACTAGTTCCGGGCCTGGGTGTGGGTCAGCGGGTCTTTCTGTGATACCATCTGGGAGGTGTGGTCTGACGTTTGTCACGGACACGACCGGGTGGATTCCCTTCTGTCGAGCAGTGAGCTGGAGCTTAACGGCAGCTGGGGAGATGACTTG